GAGCTAGACTGAAAGGACACAGATGGAATCCTACTCAGAGTCAAGTGTGTTTAAAACTACATCTTTTATATGTTTTAGGTTAGGGATACTGGGGTATGAAAGGCACTATGTCATATTTACTATGCAATTTCACAATTTGTTAGTTTACTTTGCATCCATAAAATGTGTCAAACCTTATTCAGTAAATAAAACTTCACAGTAAAGATGTAGAATCTGAAGAGGCTCATACAGAAGCCTCCCCATAAATAGCATCATTCCAAACCTTGGATGTAGTGAAACTGTACATTTTCAGACACAACATATACTTTTGGATAATTTGGTATATCAGGCAGCATCAGGATCCCCATTTTCACTGGAGAAATAATTAAATCATAAGCCTAAACAACTAAGGGGAAAGAGTAACTGATAAACACTAATAGCAGTTCCTCAATTATGGTTTTCAAATTTTTTTAGGGGTAGTGGGAAAGGCAACACAGAACTGAATTATTCTTGGATAAGTTTTTCTTTCACTATTTCTTGTTTTCTGTCCAGCTTTGCCATAAAGCTGCTAATCTTCCTTCTAACCAGCTACTAAACTCCCCCCACTTCACAAGAGACTATCATTTCACTTACTTTATTTCCCTATTCTTAATGCTTCCCTCTTCTACCAAAAAACTTGGAAGCTGTCTGCAATGACTTTGTCATAATTTAATTAATTAATTAAAAAGCATCATCGCATATTAATTAATCAATTTTGCTGTTTCCTTAACACACAGACTTCTAAGGTTTTGCACAACTTCCATAATCTATGACCAGTAAAATGGGAGGAAGCAGATACGTTCCAAGGCGTATCTTCTTTGTTTTTACTGCCTGCTTTCCTACATTATTTCTCTTTTAACCTATAATCAATATTTTACCTGCACTCCAATCTATATGAACTGTTTAACATAGAACTGTGCTCATGTAGGCACTTGCTTTATCTGATACATGTAAAACATCAAATCTATATCATATCAGCAATTATATGCATTTACATATGTACAGAGTTTAATTAAATACGTATCTTTGAAGAAGAGAAAGGAAAGCTATCTTATCAACTTACCAAACTTTAACATAGTGACTATGTTCAGTCAATATGTTTAACCCGTTTTCTAGGTTAGCACAAGGTACTGAATGATTAATTAACCAAATGGACTGAGTTCACATAGCACACAAATACAATAAAACAAGCTTAAAACTAGTTAGGCATTGCACACTATTCAAATATGCCAGCAACATATTTACAGGACTTGGTGAGGCATGTTGTATGAACTTTACTGACTTTTATCTTTGTCTATTTCAGCGGGTGAATTCAACAAGCAAGATTTGTTTCATTTTTGTTTTTAATATTTAAACTTGATGAAACTTTGTCCAATTCTTCTAATAGCTCTCCCATGATGAAAACAACAGGAGAAAGCCAATCGAATCACTTCCTATGCCTGCAGAAAATGATCCAGATCTGGATCTTTTTTTAAAAGACATTGAAGATGTTTTTTAAAGACATCTGACTTAGAAAAATGATGTATTTTGTCATCTCCCTTCCCAGAGGCAGCCCTATTAACCCTAGAAAGCCTATCCAAGTGGATTTAATTTTGTTGATACCGTCTTGAAAGCAGCCTTATCAGCAGCATACAGCAGTGGCTGCACCAGGCAGACACCTGCAGTGCAGACCTAAGCTCAGGCAACACCCTCCATGGGAGGCAGAAAAAGACCACCACCCCCAGAAGCCCCTTTTCTCTTCATGCGCAAAGACAACTCCTTGATGGAGGTGATTAATGTGTGCTGCATTGGCCCATGGTATGACGACGGCAGAATTCTTGAATAGCTTTTCTGAAATAATTGATTTCATCTGAGTTATGGATGCCATGCACCCATGCCATAACTAGGAAGAAAAAAATTAAAGGATGGAGGATTCTGTGGCATCAGGGTATAAGGATGAATGTGTGTTAAAAGGTGTACAAACGAGATGTAAGAAGACAAGGCATAGTTAAAGAAATATACAAAATACATATGAACTACTATTCTTTATAAATAATTTTTAAACTTAAGAAACGGTAAACAATTTATATTTCTGCCTGCATTTTACAGCTGTTACTCAAGCAGATCACTATTCGCTAGAGAAGCAATTCCTGCTAAATTGTAACTGGAATGATCATAGAACTTTAGATCACAGATAGTAGTTAATATTCAGATCTTTCTGACAGTAGGCAAAATAGCAACCTCCCATATCTTTAAATCCTTCCTTTAATGCAGAAAGCACTACCTATTAGAGTAAAGTATTGTAATGCAGCCTTATTGTCATTCAAATGTTCAGTATGCACAAAGAGACCAGTTCTCTGGGAAGTTCACCCATATAACTGAAAAGAATGAGAATGTACCCATATAACTGAAAGATTATTATGCATGGTGAATTATGCATACTATTTGGGAAATACAACATTTTAAGGTGCGCTAGTCTAAAAAAGATGAAACGGACACATTTTCAAAACACACATAAAATCATGACTGTTTAAAAACTGCCCAACTAAACTTCATTATAAATAGAACAACTCCATACTTTGCAACTTAATTTGAACCTCTCTGCAGTGTTTGTTAAGTCAAGATGATGCATCACTCAACTAAGCAGGTAGACAATTTCTTTTATGGTGCCAAATCTATGTGACAACTGAAATTGAAACTGGAAAATTAGTTATATCACCAAACTTGTTTTTTTCTTCTTCCCCTATTGCCATATTAAAGGCAAAACAGCCTTTAATTCTAATTCCCTTAGAATAAATTAACATACAGACATTTCTTTTTAAAGAATGAAAATGCATTGGTTGAAAAGCAACCTGTCTTGAACTCTCCTACTGAATCCAACAACTATTATGAATACTTTTGAATTTAATCAAAAGGCACTACTGACAAATGATTTAATGGCTCTTTGTATGGGAGTGGAGGAGGGGAAAGGATTGGAATAGGAAAATATTTAGGGTAGCTGAGAACGCAACCTATACAGACTGTGACAAGCCTAACCATAAAGTAGACCATTAACAAAGGATGATATGAATGGGGTGCGTGGCATTGATCAGAGCGTTTTGAGGACTGAATCTTCCTCTTGTATTATCATTCAGGCTTTGAACTTCAGTATGCTAACGATAAAACAAAATCTGCTAAAATTAATGGATTTTATTTTCAGATAGGTAGATTCAAAATAAAGGTACTATGTCCAAAAATATGTGGCAGCTCCTATGCTTGTTGCTCCAGAACAAGTAGTGTTGAATAGAAAAGGTGTCCTCCCAAATGTTCTCTGCATCGCTTCTATATTGGATGGCTACAATACTGCAGTCTAGTGCTGTATCTCACATGTCAGTATCCTTATCCATACCCATATGATTTTCCAATAATTTTAGCTTGTAAAATATAACATTACACTTTGGCTCTAAATGAAATGCAAGCTATCCACTGAAACCAAAGTATAAAATAACGTATCTCAGACTGAGATCAGACCAAATTTAAATTTTGATTTCCAAAGGCACTCTCTGCCTTTTATGAAAGGAGCACAAATACAAATTTAAAAATATGCTTATGCACCATTTAGTTACCTTGAAAACTTACGTGATCCAGGACATCACTTTAATCCTTTACTTGACCTCAAGAGCCCTTGAATGTGATATCTTACAATATCAGTATCTCTATTCTCATTATTCTTATTTTATTGGCAGTGGGAGAGAGATAAAGTAACACTTGGGTTAATGTACAACAGTGTAAAAAGCCAAATGTATTCCTAACCACCAGAACAGCACTGGAGGAAGATTTCACATTTAGGATGATGCAGTTGTGACATTGCAATAGTAGTTTTGATCACTACTCTTCCAGTTAATATTTATGTTTTGAAAGCTCCAACTTCAATACATCTAAAAAGACTAGGTGCATATTTCATAGAGCAATGTTTAAAGTGTGAGGATGATAAAGACTATGGGTAACAGTTCTGCAGTTACAGAAAAATGCATAGGTTGAATGCAGAAAAACTGACATTAAAATAAATTTAAATTATCTCCTCAAAATATCTAAAAGTAAAGAACCAAAGACAAGGACACCATAAAGATACCATCAGCAGTACAACCTTGAATCCAAATAACCTCAGCATTTGTATTTCCTGTTTCATTTGGCTGTAGTGTATCAACATCAAAAACAAAAACCTCCAGATGGGAATTAAATACAGTACTGTCAAGCTGCAGAAAGAGAAAAGACTGTCTAGCCAGTGAAACTAAAAGATGATAAAGAAAATGTAAAATGAGCACGGCAATAGCTTCTAATTACTAACACTGCAATATATCAACCAAAAGAAAGGCATACGACAGATATTCCACATTTCAGAAGGTTCTATAGTAAATGGGAAAAGAATTATTGTAATGATTACCTCTGGGGAACTTTGTACATTCTTGATTTGCTCTATGAAATGAGTGGAAAATGAACATTCAAGGGTTAAATGGTCAGAGATTCACCTCGTAGAACACAGATTTTAAATCAAGGCAGAATTCCAAAATTAAAATTTTAATTGACGATACCCACTTTCAGAGGCAATATTTTATGAAGCTTGGTGTATCTACCAATAATTTCAGACTGGGCTGTGATTCAGAAATGAGCCATACCATCACCATACAGTATAGTCTAAGTGTATATTCTGGTTTAGAAGGGGTTTTCTTTCACAGCATGCAAAGAAAACATTCTGATTATGAAGCAGATATTATTTAAGATGCCCAAACATGTAGAATATCCCATGGTGGTTGAGGAAAGTACCCTAAATTATTTCAGTCACATTTATAAATGCAGAAACTAGTATGGTCAATTATCTTACATGTAATTACATCCCCATTTCTTTGTGCTAAAAAACAAAAACAAGGGGGCTTTCTGTTTGATTATGATGCTTCCACAATCATCATTAGGTCTGCTGCACTAGCAGCACTTACTGGACCATAAAAGTTTGTCCTTTGCCTCACCAATACAATAGGAAAAGCTTGTCATACAATTCCTCACGAATAAGAAGCTGTTTCAGCTCACTGGTAGGAACAATAGAAAACTCTTCCTACAAAAACACACAGCATATTGTTAGTTTAAAGCTAAACATCTTTCTTAAAATTATTTTAAAGTTTAATTTGGTCAATCAAGTCGTTTCAATCCCGAATCTGAACTTCACCTCTGAGGCTTCTATTTTCAAATCACATGGAACTACAATTCTGAAACCGTTTTACAGTTCCCCCCGCCCCAGATTTCTCATTTATTTTTTATTCTTCAACAGCCATATTTGAACACATGTCAACTGAACAAGGAGTTTCAGTATAAGACTGCTTGTTTAAGTGAGCCCAGATGCAGGCTCTTATAAAAGGTCTAATAATTTTTTATTCCTGTTACTCATCAGACTTCTGGAGACTCAGCCCAATTTCTGAAGTTTCTGCACTACTTTACAGCCTTCTTATCCAGCTGTGCAGCTGAGCAGGCAGATAACCACATTCATTCCCCTTATCTGTAATGATGTAATACATCCCAACGCTGACCTGAGATTATTGGAAGAATAATAGTTTGAAAAAAAATTACAGAAATGACAAGCAATAGTCAATCTTTTTGTTGTTGATGTTGCAGCAAAGTACAGCTACAGAAAGCAGCATAATATTTCCCCAGTTTTTCTCCTTCCTCAAAAAACTCTGCATATTTGTGTGTGTGTGTGTGTGTGCGTGTGTGTGCTTGTATGTGAATGAACAAGGGAGAGAGACAGAGAGAACAAACTGACGTTAACATAATCCGTAATCAAAACAACATTCTAAACAGCTTCACCAGAGATAGTGAAAGTCACTGGGTGGGCTGTAATCTAAAAATAACCCCCTCCTGGTGAAATCTGTGGTCTCTGCCAGGAGAAAAGAGACAGCAGGCAGTTAAAAGTGTTGTCAAAGGAGCAGAGGAAAATCTCCAGATGAACGATGCTCTTCCTCTGGTTTAATCTAGTACCAAAAACCTCCTTCATTTTCAGCACTCATTTGAATTAATCTTTTGGTGAGCTACAGCTAGAGGGATTCTTACCTTCTGCAGAAGTTGGGAACCTGAGTATTTCGCTGCAATGGATCTGATCTCCCCACCGAAAGCAGAGGCCCAGAGTTTTACACTATGGAGGAAAATAGGCAGAGACAGATATTGAAAAGGAAAACGTAATTACACACCACCATAAACAACATCTCATGCAGACAGACATAAATAAATACACCATAGAGTCTGAACTGTTAATTCCCATATCTCCCCCTTAAAGCAATACTGGGATGATTCTGAAGGGAAGACCCCAGGTCGATCTATTCTGTTAGGCAAAGCGTGAGTAAAACCTCTCTTGGCCAAACTTGAAGAGAAACTTGTGCGAATGAGAGAGAGAAATTATATAGACAGCGACGGGTACCCTAGATCCATTTTTGCAAGATCACCATCCCTGAGCATCTAACATGAAACGGGACTGCAATCGAAAAGCGACTAGAGCTAGTTGGCGCCGCAGCCGAAAGTTCACGCGCCCGAAACCTGGGGATGAGGGGTTTACTGCTCTCCTCCACCCCAATTCCAGGAGCGGCCAGCAGCCCCCTTGTCAGAAGAGCTGTTAGGAAGCCGAGCGCGATCCCCCCGTCCAAAAGACAAGAAGTCTCTCCCCAACCACCCCAACCCCTCGCCGGCGCCGGCGGGCTCTTCCATACAGCCTGCGACACTCACACAGACAAGGGAATCTGCTGCTCCGACCCGGCCCCTCCGGCGAGGCTGAGGCTAGCCGCCGTCCAGACCAAAGCGAGGAAGGCAGGTAGAGTCCGCAGCGGGCACCCGGTCTCCGGCATGGTCCTCCTCGCTCGCTCGCGGGCTTCACGAGACGTGGCTCTCTGGTCTCTGCCGCTCGAAAGGTTGGCGCGGCTGCGACAAGACAAGGGGGCGAGAGCGGAGCAAAGGCCGGCCAGGGAGCAGTCACGGCACCATCTTTGCCCGGCTCCGAAGGCAGGAGGCTCGGCGGACCCGAAAACTCCGGCGTCCTTCTTGGTCGTCCGGCGGCAGCACTGCGGCTCGCCCCTTCGCTGCCGCTCGGGCCGTCGAGAGCTTAACTCCGCAGTCGGTGGAAGCGACGCCGTACCGGAGTTACTTCTCAGACCTCGTGCTGTTTCGCAGCGTCCCGGCGTGGAAAGGCAGGCGGGGATCCGACCGGGGCAGGTGTAGGTCGGAAGGGTCTCGGCTGCCTTTGCTTGCCGCGCTTCCTGCTCACT